TTTCTTGTCTGGTGGCAGCATTACTCCAGTGTTCATGTGGCATTCTCCCTGTGTGTGCATTTTCATGTGACCTCCCCTCGATATATGTCTGTGTCCGACTTTTCCCTTTTTATAAGGACACAGTCCTATTGGATTAAGGCCCACCCTGATGACCTCATCTTAACTCAGTCATCTGCAAAGACCTCCCCATTTCCAAATAAGGTCACAGTCACAGGCTCTGGGGTTGGGACTTTAACAGCTTTTGGAGGATAACAGTTCAACCCATAACACCGCCTAAAGGAGCCCAGGCCCTCTCCGACACTGTGTCCCTCACTCCGCTTCATTTTCTCCATAACATTTGTCACAATCTGAAATTAGCTCTTTCAGTTATTTACCAAGTTGTTATCTCGCTAACAAGAGAGAGAAACGTCAGCTCCGTGACAGCCATAGCCTTGTCTGTTTTAGACCCCACTGTATTCCAGTGCTTGGTAACAAACACTTGTTAATAAGTGACTTAATATGGCTTGGAAAAAAGGAAGCTCATAGATGTAGGAATCAGAAGGGCTGTGTTGGGGCAGAAAGAGCAGCCTAGTTTTCTGCAGTCTTAGAGAACAGAACCAAGACCAAGACTAGCAAGAGGTTGGGGGCAGGAGGGGGCACTTCTCATTCATGGGTTAGACACCTTGCACAGTGCGCGGCATGTTGAGAGCAATCGGTATTGTTATTCCTACCTTAGGAGGTAGTGGGCTTCCTATCACTAAAGGCATTCGAGCTTGATGGCAACTTGGCAGGAAGATAAATGATTGCATTGGGATTAGGCTGAGCAGTCTCTGAAGGGCTGCCAGACCTGAGTGTCTCTGGTCCCATGAAGAAGAGCCCAGAGCCCAGGTCCCCTTATTAGGAGGAAACCCAGTAGGGTTTGAGGTATTTAGGGAAGATGAGCCAGCATGGCCTTGGACCCTGGATTCCCCAGAATCTGCTTCTAATTTGCCCTTTAAGGGAGTGCTAAGGAGTGAAATGGCTGGGTGACTTTGGTGGGAGAAGTTTCTATTCTTCTAAAAGCATTTCCATGGACAATGATGTACCCGCTGACCAGTAAAGCATTGTGCTGACAACAGCAGGAGTCATCGTATCTGCAGGAGCCAACTGAGGCATCCCTGCTTCCAGCCCCCAGCATGGATTTACCAGGCAGCCACCAGGATGTCCTCCCAACGTTCTGTCCTGACCTGCTAGATGAGGCCCATGTGTGCTGGAGAAATTCCTGGACGTATCAAGTCACCAAGCCAGTTCCATTCTTCAAGAGGTTATTAAGCACCTGCTGTGTGTCCAGCACCGCAGGCAAATAGAGCCCTATAGGCCCTAGTACTGACCCTGAAAAAAGATTGAAGTTTTGAAGTCAGTGGGCCCCGTGAATGGGTTGGCATGTGAGAGCGAGCTTCCCCAGCGTGAGCTAATCCTGGGCAGTCGCAAGAGGCAGCAGGCCCAGGTCCTAGCTCAGCTCTGCAAGTCAGCTACCCTCTCTGGCTGTCAGCGTCCTCTGTAACATGGAGAAGGGGGGTAGGCGGGAAGATCGCCAGGTGCGTCTCACCATAGCAGTGCTGACTGGGACAAGCTGCTTCCCGGGCTCTGTGAGGAAGGGGCGCTGTCTCCACCCTCAGTCTCTGGGGCCACCCGTTCATCTGGGTGCTGTTTTTATTTGGGGCATGGTGGGCCAGAAACAAAGAGGTCCGAGAACCAAACTAGGAGGAAATATAACACTCCTGAGGAATCTTTTTGAGAGTTAAAATAAAAATGGAGGAAAATGGCCCAAACAAGCTCTTTCCTTTGAATTTTTTCCATTGCCTAGCCAAGGCCTTTATATTTCTAAATATGTCATCTAATGAGCAAACTAAGTTATATTTATGTATTAATTTAAACATACTATGTAATAGGAAATATGTAATTGGAAATAATATTTGTGTCTATACGAAAGGTATATATAAAGTGACTTTATACCTGTAAAGTATACTTACATATATATATGTTGCATGTTTCCTTTTTTAAAAAAACAATATTTCTATTACTCATTCTCTAAAAATATCCTCTTGGTTTCAAAATGTCAAGAAAGTCACCTCTAATTTTCCTGACTTTCTGGTCTGGCCTTGGCTCTTCATAATTCAGTCTCCCTCATGTTCTCTGAGCCGACATTCACAAGCCTCTGCCCAGTGCAGGTGCCAAGGTGGTGAGGACCTTGGCTCTGCTCTCAGAAGCCCTCTGTCTGTTGGGCAGACAGATGTGTAGGGAGCTAAGTCATGCTCAGGGTGAAAGGCACGTCAATAGAGGGGTGTGTCAGGTGTGACGGGACACAGAAGAGGGAGTTAGTTGCTACGCTTAGGGTAGAAGTGGTAAGGGATGGTTTCCCTGAGCTGAATTTAAGCCAGGTTTTGAGGGATGAGTAGGAGCTCAGCAGGTGAAGGCAGCAGCTTGAGCAAAAGCCAGAAACCCAATAGAAGTAGCATCTTTGGGGACTTGGCATGGGCAGAAGGCTGGCCCTCCAACCTGCTATGCCACCAGGGCCCTGGCTCTTAGCTCTAAAAGAGCTAGCAGGGTGGGGGGGATGGCAGTGCTCCTCCCTGCCCAGCTCTCTCTTCTCTCTGCCCAGTGCCAGGGTAAGACGTTTCCCTCCATCCACCTGTGGACCCGGCTCCTGTCGGCCCTGGCTGGCCTCCTCTATGCCTCAGCCATCGTGGCCCACGACCAGCGGCCTGAGTACCTGCTGCGGGCTACCCCCTGGTTCCTGACTTCCCTAGGTCGTGCTGCGCTGGACCTCGCTGTATCCGCCCCAGGCCCAGGGGGCTTGACTGCCTGTATCTCATCTCCTCCCTGCCCCTGCCATGCCCTCCTTCCCTCTTGCTAGATGGAGCTCTCTCTCAGTGGTTTGAAGCCTGGGGCAGGCAGACACGATTATAATGTGCAATTTTGTTTCGTGTCCTGTTTTTAAAAAAATAAGAATAATTATCTCTTGGCCGGAGCTCTGTGAAACAGCAAAGGGGGAGTGTGACGGTTACTGGCCCTAGGATCAAAAGAGCCAGATTCCACGCTCAGTTCTGCTCCAGGCCTGGGTCAGTCCCTGCCCTCTCATCTGTTTCCCCATCTCTGCCTTGCCTTTCTCACAGACTGGGAAAAGGCTTTGCAAGCCGGCCTGCTGTGCGGGGCTAATCATTCCCCCTGGTCTCGTTGATGCTGGAGCCTGGGGTGGGAAAGCAGGGATAAGAGTTGACAAGGGCTGCCCTTCCTTGGTGACTGTGAGCGGTTCCCCAGGGGGTGTTTCTGGATGTGCCGACACCCCAGTGACCTTGGCATGAGGACCTCAAGGGCAAGCTAAGCTCAAACAGTGGTGAGTAGAGATGGTGTGTGTGTTGGGGGCGGGGAGTGGTGGTGGCGAGAAACTTGTGGATTTAGCATAAATGGTTCAGAAACTGATTTTCTCAAGTACTATGTTAGTTTGCTAGAGCTGCCATTACAAATTGCCACCCACCTGATGGTTTAGATAACAGAAATTTATTTTCTCAGCTCTGGAGGCAAGACGTCTGAAATCCAGGCAGGGCCACACTCTCCCCAAAGGCTCTACAGGGGAACCTTTCCTTGCCCCTTCCAGCTTCTGCTGGCTCCTGGTGTTCTTTGGCTTGTGAGCATAATTTTCATTTCTGCCTCTGTCTTCGTACGGCCTTCTTCCCTTTGCGTACCTCTGTGTGTCCTCTCCTCTTTTTATAAGGACTCCCGTCATGGGATTTAGGGTCCACCTTAATCTACTGTGACCCTATCTTAACTAATTATTGAGTTACACATTTTGAGATTTCAGGTGGATATGAATTTGGGGGGAGACGCTGTTCAACACACTACAGGTGATGTCCCTGTAAGCCAAGCCCTTCAAGGGAGATAGTTCTTAACATGCTTTTGTTTAACAAGCGTTTCCTAAGTGTCCGTTAAAGGCAGGGTCTTGCTGGGTGCTGGGCCTGCGTGGGCGATATGTAGGGAGAGTCAGACCTGGCCCTGTCCTCAAAGGAGCTCCCCGGCCCGGGGAGGGAGAGCCCAGGGTGGAGCCCTCAGTGCACAGGGGAAGCAGCACCGAGTGGCTGGAGTGCCCTGCTCCCTTGGACCTTAACTCCACTTCCCAGATCATCTTCCTTTCCTGGATGATGAAAAGCAAGATGAGGCGGGCCTTGGGATTTGCCTGTGAAGCCAGAGAGAGCCCCGACACCCAAGCCCTTCTGACCTGCGCAGAGAAAGAGGAAGACAACCAGGAGGCAAGGAACGAGGCTCGGAGGGGGGCAGAGGCGGGGGACTCGCCACAGCCAAGCCTGGGGTCCTGGGGTCCTTCCAAGCTTGGCCAGCTGGTCACTTTAAAAAACGATTTATGCCCAACACTAAGAGTGCCCCCAATAAATAGGATCCTCTATTTTCTCAATTACAACATATTATTTTAAGGTTTTTGATCACTTAATAAATTTTAATATACTGTAAGCAATGTAGATGGGTCAAATGTCCACGTATACTACTTAGTCATTTCCATATCTATATATTTAAGTTTATATACTACATAAATTAATATGTAATCTGAGTTAATGAAACAGAAGATAGTGGTGGGTATGGCCAAGGTACAAGGGTTTTATATAAGTCCTTGCACCACAGATCCAAATTCCCATGAAGTCTCTAATGGGAGGTTATTTTCATCCATTCTAGAAACTGTTATGAAATTATATTTCATAACAAAAAGGAGCTAAAATACTTGAGGAGAGCCCTATGTGTCTTCGTGTTCTGAAGGGAGGAAGTGGAGCCTTTGCAATCTCTTCGGCAGTCCTTTACAGCAACAGTTCTCAAAGTGTGGTCCCTGGACCGGCATCACCTGGAAACGTGTTAGAAATGCAGATTCTCGGGCTTTGCCCAGCTCAACCAAATCCTAAACTGAGGGTGCTTTAATGAGTCCCCTGGGTGCTCCTGACGCACAGGACGGTGTGAGAACCACTGCTTCACAAAAGCATTTATTCAGCACCTGCTGCACCGGTTCCCAAATTTTGCTGTACTTTAGAATCACTGTGGGACTTTTAAACTCTCCAGGTCACATCCATACCAATGAAATCAGAATATCTGGCATGGGTTGGTGTGTGCGAGAGCTAAATATCAGTAGTTTGTTTGTTTGTTTGTTTGTTTGTTTTAAGCTGCCCGGGTGATTCTACTGTGCAGCAAAGTTTGTGACCTCAGAAAGAGAGAGATAAGATATATTTTACGGGAAGCAGAAAGTGAGATGTGCCATAAGAGAACAGAAAACAAAAACTTTAGGGGTTCTTTTGAAGAAAATGAGACCTTGTTTTCAGAAAATGTCTCCTGACTTTAAGAATTCCCCTTTCTATCTCCCTGTCTCTGCTTGAAAGAATTCAGATTGGGTGCCTCTCACCACACTACCACACTGCAAGTCACTAAGGACGATGACAGCCATCAGTCGCTACATGGAGCTGACCATTGAGCCAGTGCAACAGGTGAGTAGCTGTGGGCTACAGCCAGGTGTTCAGAGGATGGGCAGTAGTCATGGAAGGCTTCCTGGAGGAGGTGACCCTTTAGCTACAGGATGGGAAGGATGAGGTAGGGAAGCATGAAAAAGAGGAAGGAACTCTCCAAGTCCTCAGTGGGGGGCCAATAGAGGGGAGTTTGGTTCATGAAAAGCTGGAGAGGAGGTAAGGGTGAGATCGTCACACTATAGAAGCTGACTAACATCTTCAGGTGATGGGAGTCTAGGAGGCTTCTGGTCTAGAGACTCAGGGTCAGATGTGCATTTTAGAGCCATCAGTCAGGCAGTGTTGGAGGACAGACTAGGAGAGAGGAGACTCGAATCAAGACGGTCAGTGAGGGCCACTTGTAAGTCCAAGAAAGGGGTGGTATAACCTGAACCAAGGCTGGAGCAGAGGAAGAAGCAGAGATGGACTGGATAGAGTTGGCAAATAAAGTGTTGAGGAAGTGAGGATGTGGGGATGAGGGAGACGGAGGGCTCCAGATGGCTCTCAGGGTTCTGGCCTGCATGTAGGGGTCCTCAGGAGGAAGAGAGTTAGAAAAAAGAGAGGCGACAAGTCCACTCCACCGTTCCACTACGGCACTAAGACTGTTCTTGTCCAGGTTACCAGTGACCTCCACGTTGCTAAATCCCGGGGTCATTTCTGTCCTACTTGAGACTCAACTCACTTGGCCACTAGCTGCTCGTGACTTCCGGGACCCTCACTCTCCTGGCTTTGCTGCCCGCCTCACAGGCCTTCTTTCCCCCTCACTCCTGCTGCCTCCTCCTGCTGAGCCTGACTTTAAGGTTGTAGGACCCCAAGCGCCGTCTCGGCAGGTCCTCCTTCTCTCGGTGTCCTCTTTCAGTCTCATAATGCCACAGCTCTGCACACCAGCTCTTGCCGATTTCCATCATGTGTTTCTCCATCCCGTTCCCCTCCCTCCATTCCAATCTTGGCTGCAGGCTGCCTATCTAGTGTCACCACATGGCATCTCACACTTTCTGTGTCCAAAATGGAATTCTGGATTTTCATGCCCAGACCTCTCCCCATCTTCCTCAACTCAGCAAAGGACACCACTGTCCGTATAGTCGGTCAAACCCACATTTCTCTCTTCCCCTCACTGCGGGGCCCTGCCCATCTGATACATTTTTCAAGTTTTGCCAATACTGCTTTTTAAATAGATCCAGCAGCCTCATAACCGGTTTTCCTCTCCACTGCTATTTTTGTTCCATCTTTTCCATCTGCAAGGATTACTTACATAAGTAAATTACATCTTGTTCTTCATTTGTTTAAAGCACTCTGCTGGCTTCCCATTTCACACAGAATCGAAACCCCGTACCCAGACTCCCAAGCCCCTGCCAGCCCAGCACCGCTCCCTGATTGTCTTCTGTTCTCTTTACTCTTCTCTCGAAGCTCAGGATTTCTTTTTGTTCCTCTGCCTAGATGCTCTTCCTTCTGATTTTTTTTTTTTTTTTTTTTTTACATAGCTGCCTTTTCTTATCTTCAGACTTCAGTTAAAATGCCACCTTCAGAAAAGGCCTTCCCCGACCACCCATCCAAAAGTAGCTTCCATTTCATCTCTCTGTTGTATTACTTTATTATTACCTTTTTAAATGCTCTGCAAAGCACTTAGGATCTTTTACTTTTGTTCGTTGTCTGTTTCCTGCTGGGATACATACACTTTGTGTCCTTCTGTTTGTTTCCCTAGTCTCTGGTGTGTCGAGTCACATCACGGGCTCTCAGTACAGGTGTGTCTGGAACACGGAGTTCAGTGCTGAGCGGCCTGTAGGGACATACTGATACTCAGAGAGAGTGTGGATCTGAGACACAGATTTTACTCTTTGTTGTTGTTCTTTGGAATGTGGGTGCAAAGAACCAGTATGTGCTGTAAGTGCGGTACAGGGGATTCAGAGCATGCTTTCACAATTAAGAGCCCACTTCGGCCATTAAACCCTTCTTCTGATGGGAGGATGGGTGAGTGATGGGAGGCCCTGAGGAAAGCACGAGGAACCCTGGCAACATCTGGCCAAAGCTTTGCACAAGAAACTTTTAAATTATGGAACTTCTGAAAAATAATAGTGCAAAAGTGGCATTCACTTTAACCTTTCCAGTACCTGAATCTTGAGTGGATACCTGCTGGCGAACAGACTCCATGAAAGAAGAGTGTGTTCCTCCTTTATTTTCTTCCGCTGAGGGCCACCAGCATATTTTTAAGCCAATACTTGCACTTGACCTCTTCCTTCTGTATCCACCAGAGGGCGAGAGGTGTCTTTGAGACAGCTCCCCGCAGAAGGCCTAGAGCCCTTACCTTCCAGCCTGGGCAGGAAGCCACCTCACTGGGCTCTAGGGCCTCTATACCCATGGAGGTCTATTTATTGAGGGCTAGCTACTTGCCTGGCTCTGAGTAAATAATAAAAGCCAACGCTTCCATGATGCTTATCATACTGATCCAAGTGCTTTACATAGATTAACTCTTTTAAACCTCACAGCCAACTCCTGAGGTACCAACCTCATTTTACAGATAAGGAAAATGGGGCACAGAGAGGTTAAACAACTTGCTCAGGGTCACACAGTTTGTCAATGGTAGAACCAGGATTCAAACTTGCCTCTTCCTGAGTCTGTGCCCTTGACCACTATACATACTGCCTCTTGGGCATAATGACTGACACCAAGAAGGTACTTGATAAATAGTTGTTTTTTGATATTGTCATTAACAATTTTTTACAATCTATGCAGTAGATAACTATGATTATTTCTATTGGTATTTATTAATAATTAATAATTTTATTATTATTTTAAACTGAGTCATAGAGAAGATTGTCACTTGCCCAAGTTCCCATAGTTAGAAAATCACAGATACAGGTTTCAGACTAAACCTGTCTGATTTTGAGACTTCAGCTTTTATAAAGAGAACATACTCTCTGTGCTGCCATATCTTGCCAGGTCAGTTAGCAAATTTTTCCTTTCTTTCATGAGAATGTCCCAATGAGCAAAATTGTAGTGAGATAGGTATACCCTGTTGCCATGTACACTGATATATGTCCTGATCAGACAGCCATCTGGACGTGGGCAAAAAAAGCCGCAAGCTGCTTAGTGTCTCAGTGTTCCCTGCCCCACATTAGTCCGAAGGAAAAAATTTCCAAGAGGTGCAACCCAGGTTCAGGCTGAGTGAAGGGCCTAGGGCCGTGGGATCACAGGGATCAATGGATGGGAGCATTTGAAAACTCAGATTTATTTGTAGATTCAGGTATGTTCAGGCCCCAAGGAATTTATAGAATCTGTCATTGTTGCCTGAGCAGCTTCTGCTTCTCTCAACTCCCCGGCCCTGCCCAGGGGCCGCCCAGCACTCGGCCTCCTCCTGCTCCTTTGTGGACTTTCTCCTGTCCAGCCGACTCACGTGAAAATGTACACTTACACTGGAGTCATGCTCCAGTCACGTTGGAGCCCTGAAGTGATTTGGAGTCCAATATGATGAATAGCCATTCTTCTCATGTGTCTGGGACATTTACATCTGAGCCCCGTGATACTGCTTCAAAGGAGAAAGGCAGGGATTACCACCTCCTTTTATAGATTAGGAAACTGAGATTTAGGGAGAATTAATTTCTTGTGAAGGTCACATGGTTAGTTGGTGGAAGATTCTGGTCCAGAAGGCAGGTTAGGTTGTTCTCCTGGTGGTGCGTCAGTGGAATGACTTGAATCCCGCCCAGCTCTGAAACCTAGGCCAACAGATCTTCAAGGATCTCTGAGGAAGTGCCCACCCCCAACCCTCATGGGAGTCCTGTAGGAGGAAGCTCTCTTCTGAGATAGATGGATGGATGGATGGATAGATAGATAGATAGATAGATAGATAGATAGATAGGTAGATAGATAGAGATAGGTAGGTAGGTAGGTAGGTAGGTAGGTAGATAGATAGATAAAGATATATGATAGATTGATGATTGGTTGATAGAAGATGGACTGATAGATAATAAAATATAAATAGAAAGATAGATGATTGATAGATGATAGGTAGCTAGACAGATGATTGGTAGATAATGTAGAGAAGGTAATAGAATATAGATAGAAAGATGATACATAGATAAATAGATGATTGACAGTAGATAGATAGATAGATGATGGATAGATAGATCGGGAATCTCCCTTAAACATTCCCAACTCACTCTGCTGCTGCTGGATATGAGTCAGCAAAGCCTCTATAGAGTGCATTTTTGGCAATAGCTGTCCAGATTACAAATGCACATACCCTCTGATCCCTAAATTCCACTTCTAGGAATTTATCTTTAAAATACCCTGAAATTTTGGATGTACGATATAATTTAGTACAGTCAGTATTGATTGTAAAAGTGAGAAATTGAAAATACCCTAAAGGTTCATCAGTAGGGGATTAGTTAAGTACATTGTGAACACATATACAATGCTGTCCCGCCATCCCCCCCACCCCACCAAATCTCATATAGTCCTATCTCTGAGACAATGTTAAGTTAAAAAAAAAGCAAGATACATAAAAAGGTGTAGAGCATGCTACCACTTGTGGAAGTAAGGGTAAATAAGTGTATATGCATTTGATTGTCTAGACTATCTGGAAGGATGCACAGGAAAGGGAGCAAGGCTGCCTCGAGAGAGTACAGGATGGCTGGGGGATGCGGGGGGAAGCAGGCGCTGCTTTCTACACCCTTTCCTATCTTTTAAACTGGAGTACGCGAGTGCTTTGACAATTCAGAAACGAAGAAGTAAATTGAGTGTCCTTGCCTGCCCTTCCCCACACACCTTGCAGGCAGGCTGCAGCACCAGCAGGCTGCCTGGTGACGGACAGACCAGCACGGGAGATGCACCCCTGCAGGAGCCCCCCTCGTACCCACCCGTTCAAGTCATCCGGGCCCGTGTGTCTTCCAGCAGCTCCTCCGAGGTCCCCTCCATCAACTCCGACCTTGAGGTACACGCTGTTGCCTGCCAGTGGGTGCGTGGGCATCCTCCTTTACCCACTTATGCTGCGGTTCGTGAATCCGCCTACACTAACCTCATGCCTGCAAAATAATGAATAAGCCTCCGCCGGCTTCTGCACAAGGAGTTTCCCACACTGTCAGTGCTGAGAAGGGGTTTCCAAATTAGTCGGGGAAACACTGCATAGTGCAGCGCAGTCTCGAAGAATCACTTGCACATTCAAGTTTTAAAAAAAATTAATGCATGAATAATAAACTTCGAAAGGGGCTCGGTGTTTCCCAAAGCCTTCTGACCATGGGAGCATTTGTGTTCTTCCCCCACCCCTTTCCCCACTCCGGAGCACCACCTGTACCCTATGGTGCCATCAGGGTCATACACGGGGTCATATGAGACTGACATTTTCATAAACTTTACTTCATTTTGAATTTTTGGATCTGTGAACAAAACATGTCACATTTCAGATACAATGAATGGGTTAACCCTCGGGGCGGAGCTGCCCTGCTACTCTCAGTCCTACAGCTGTGGTTTCCAGCCCTGTTTACCAGGGAGTTTCCCTTTGTGGAAATTAAGAACAAGGATGGTGCGGTGGACATGTGCTGTCAGCAAGAGACTGTCAGCTGTTTTTCGGGGGGCGGAGGAAGGACTGTCTTTTATTCTGGGTTTCTGTTCTATTATTTTGGTGTTAAAATGCCCTTTTATGAAATGATGATAATAATATATAGTAGTTGGTGTTGAGATTTTTGTTTTGGTTTTAATGGCCTTATTTGGCAAAATAATCCATTAGCTGTTCTAAGTCCCTCGAATTTGTTGAGCTCAAAATCGACCCTGGAATCTGAACAGCCTCAGAGCCGTCGATCCATCGGGTAAAGTCTGGTTCCCAGTGTGAGGTTCCAGACCTTTCACGCCTGCCCCAGCCTCGTGCCCCTCCCCTGCCTCACCCACATGTTCCCTTGGCCATAGACTCTTCTCCTAACCCCCAGCCTCTGGGCCTTTCTACCTGGGGTTTTCTCTGGCCCAATTTTCATGTGTCAGAATCCTATCCAGATGCTACCTGCTATGTGAAACTAATCCCCCACCCCGCCACACATGCGCGTGCACAGACTCACACATGCACACACACCAGACAATAATGGCTCCTTCCCTTGGGTGCCTAGAGCATATACCTCTCTCACAAAACTTCCATTGTTTGCCCTGTAGCTGGTGAGCTGTCAGGGCCTGTCTCCCCTGCCAGGCTGTGCATGAGCTTGTAGGTATAGGGCCTGGACTGCCTTCATCTTTCTCTATGCCTCAATCCTAGAACACAGCTGATCATTAAATGCTGAGTTTTGAGTGAAGAATTCTGCACCAGACCGAGGACCATTTGGGGTCCGTGTATCCCCATATCATTCACTGTTATTTATTTCTTGGATCCAGTCACTCAAGGCACATGGCTTTGGCAGCCTGGAGGCAGCAGTCTGGGCAGAAATCTAAGATTTAACACAGAAAGAAAGAGCCTGACAGCAAAGTACGTTCAGTGAGGAGAAGGGACAGTTAAGTCGGCAAGTCAGGAAGGAACTGGAGAGAGCGAGAAACAACATTCGCTCCCTGGAAACAAGGGTGATTTTTGTTGCCCACCTACAATTAAGCTAAGGACTGGGCAGGGACCTTGAGAAATTCGGACGTTTGTCTGTGGCTGGTTTGGGCCATTTCTCTGTTTTGCACTCTTTGCTCTTCCCTTACTATATTCTCTCTCTCTTTTTAGACATTTATTATTTTTTTAACTATATACATTCCAAGGGGGCAAGGTCACACTCTTAAATTAGGTAAATGGAAATGAATGCTTCTGCCCACTTCAAAAGGAAAATATTTTAGAAGCACAGCTGCCCCAGCCCACGCCCTCTCATAACCCCCAGCACAGTCCTCCTGCTTCATTCCCAGAAACATATGTGGTACAAGTGACAAAGCTACAGAGTCCTGAAAAGAAATGCCTTAGAATTTCACTAAACATATACGATAACAGGTCATATGAGTTGTAAAGCTCCCAATACAAATAGTTCGAATGTATGAGCAGGACACAGTGATTATTATAATAGGCATATGATTATTGGGTTGCTGGTAATCTGTATTTTCTCTTCTTAAAAGTAGTACATATTTATCATAAAAAAAATTGGAAAATATAAAGAAGAAAATTAAAATTAACCCAAAAACCTACCAACCCACGACTACCTCTGGGTGAAGGGATTATGAAGGCTTGACAGCCTCCCCTATTTTGGGGGCAATATTCCTTAAGATCCTGGTTTCTTTACAGCTGAATGTGGGCAAGAAGGTGTCTTCTAGCAGATGAGAGTAACATGGCACTTGACCTGTCCGTTTGGTCACGTGGTCAGCAAACATTTTCTGAGGGTGGAATTTGAAAGAAAAATGCATGATGACAGATAGGCTGGCCTGCACCCTGTGCACAGGGTAGAAGGTATTTGGTCAGCTGGGCACAGCCGAGGTCTGATCCCTGCCTGACTCCTCCAGAGCACACACCTAAGGGACTGAAGCGTATGTTTCTATGCTGGAGCCCCAGGTCATCACTTCCTCTGGTTTATGACTTTCTTGCTCCCGGGATTTCATAATTTAAATATTTTGGTGGCATTGGGCTTAGACACCTGGGGCTCTTTCTCTGTCTCTTGAGATGCC